CGCAAAAATACTTCCGCCTTTCGTTTCCGGCAACACAGAAAGGAGAGCTCGTTTTAGTAAGGTCTATAATCCCTAAGCGCGACCGAAAGCCGCCTACGTAGAAAAAAGTTCTGCGCAAAAATACTTCCGTCTTTCCCGGCAACACAGAAAGGAAAATTCTAATTGGTAAGGGTTATAATCCCTAAGCGCGGCCGAAGGGCGCCTACGTAGAAAGAAGTTCGTTTTCATGTATGCACTATTTCGGTTTTTGTCATAAGCATTATTTCAGTTTTGAGATGAAACTGTCCATGTATGCATTACTTCGGTTTTTGTCATATACATTATTTCGGTTTTGAATCGAAACTGTGCATGTAGGCATTACTTCGTTTTTGTCATATGCGTTATTTCGTTACTTCGCCGGGGCCCGAAACATGGTAGTATGCAGTACTGTTCAAGTATAAAAAGATCCATCAAGCTAAGTGGCTGTATCCAGATCGAAAAACGAGAAACCAAATTAATCATGTTGTGATTGACGGAAGGCATGCTTCCAGTGTTTTAGACGTACGTACACTCCGAGGCCCATTTTCTTGTTGCAGCGAAGATACGCACTCGCCTCTGTGTAGCAAAAAATGTCCGCCAAAAATGCAAGGAAAGCTTAACGTCGAAAAGCTGCAGTCACAACCAGTGTTGCCGCTAGAGAAAAATTGAGTGAAGTAGATTTTGGAAAAAAGTGGAGTAGATTGAATAAAATTGAAGTAGTATACATTTTTGAAAACAAAACAATATAATTCATTTTATTTAATAAGAAAAACAAAAAAAATGACATTTCATTTTAAATATAGATACATATAATAAAATAAACATACAAATAATAATACAAATCACATTTCGTTACTATGATAAGTACATATATGTATACAAATATGTTAAAATAATTTTAAATTTTAATTGGTCTTAATTTTTTGGTATTTATTTATGATTTCTTTGGGTGGAACCCAGTTTTCAAATTCAAATTCTGATATTATTAATTAGAAGTATAGAACTCACTGTTTCTACGTTAAGACAATTTCGGATAGCCGTTTTATTTAATTTCATTTGGGAGAATACACGCTCCGTGGAAGCACTGCTATGAGGCAAGCAAAGTAAAGAACTTATAAATTGCCGCAAATGTGGATACATGTGCTCTCCTAAACTATTTTTTACTTTAAAAACATTTTGCCAAAACATTTCAAGAGTCATCTCTTCCTCGGAAAATGCATGTAATAATAAAAGTCTCCATTCTTCATTAATATCTTCAATGTTCATATTTCCAACGAGATTAGGGAATATATTAATAAGTGGCACAAGGCTTGGCCCTAACGATAATGGATCAATTATTTGTAGTGCTTTCAAAACTGGGTCCTTAAAATTTGCTTGCTTAGCGAAATGTAAAAACGTAAACAATTTTTTTGCATAGAGTAAATCTCTTCCGCGGTTAAAGTGCCTCCTAGAATAAACATTTCAGTTTGTGCTCCAAGATAGAGATCTTCAAGTTTTTTGTACATTGTACTATCTTCTATAGTATCTTCAGTTAATGATTCAAAATTTAATAGGTTTATGTGCATGAAATTGTTTAAAATACTTTTTAAATACAATTTTAATGTTTTTAAGAGCTGATGGAAGCGTGGTTCTGTTGCCTGAAACTCTAAATTTATTTTATTTACGTTTTTTAGACTGCTGCTTAAAAACAGCAAATAGCATTTATTTAACGGTGTCATTTGTTCTAAGATTTGTTTAGCAATGTCATTATTTTCCTCAAAAGCAGCGCTAGCCAAATAAGTTTGAAGAGCTGGCCATTGTTCTAACACTCTTACTATGGCGTGTTCCAAACTAAGCCATCTAGTGTCAGCTCTTTTTAAAATCTTATGCTTTTTTAAGTCAAAGTAATCTTGAAATTCTTGAAATTCCACTTGCCTCTTACTACTATGTGCAAAAAAATAATAAATGTTTCTTACTAATGGTTCTATTTCTGGAGGTATGGTTTTCGTGGCTGGTGAAGCACATAGGTGCATTGAATGGCAAATGCAGCCAATCACATAAAGATTGGGGTTCCATTCTTTCAATAAGGTTTTAACACCTGAAACGCCACCCATCATTACAGCGGCATTATCGGCGGCAAATCCAACAACATTTTCAAATGGTATTTTCAAATCAATAAACAATTTTTTTAGCGCCTCAAATAATGATCATGCATCACATTTTTGTAGTTCAATCAGTCTTAGAAAAGGTCTCGAATTTTGCCTTTTTGTTGATCAAAATATCGAGCAACTACTCCTAGGCATTTTGAGGTACTTATGTCAGTAGATTCGTCTATAATAAGCGAAAACTTATTGTGTCTTAAACAATTAGCCATATCTTCCATAAAATTTTCAGCCAATACACCATTAATTGTCTCTGCTGCTTTGGATCTACCACACTTTATTTCTTTCACTATTTCATCGTTTCTGGCAACACTCTTAATAAGACCAATTAATGGTGTAATCAGTGCAAAAGGTAAATTGTGAACACACAAAAATAATATTATTTTCAGCTCCGCAATTTTTATTTTTCGAATTTTCGGTTCAAATGCTTGCACTTTTATTTTGGTTTATTTTCGGCTGCTGCTTCAATGTGCATTCATTTTTTTTATGTGACTCACCATAGCCATGTCTCAATATTTGTTTTATTGTTAGAGATATATTTTTGGCAAATTTTGCAAAATGCTTTGCCTTTGATGTTATCTAGCCAACTTAAATCACGCTTCCATTCCTCTCTGAAATGTTGTTTATATTTTTTTTGTCGTGATGGAAAAGTCGCTGCAGGCTCATGGTCGTCAGATTCCGAAGAAGAAATACTGTAACAGTTACATATGTACATATGTATATCTTTTATTAAAAATCGGAGAAAATGTTTGATAACAAAATTTACCAATTGTCTAGACAAGTCCTTTCTTTTTGAGGATGATCTGCCACTGCCTAGACAAGTTTTTTTTTTTGAGGAGACGAATCACTTGAAGATGATCTGCATCTGCCACTGTAAAAGTCAATTGACAAAACTTGATATAGCCGCCATTTTGATTTTCATGTGCTTTTTTATATGTATAAAACACAAATAAATTTGTTCAATGATATACTAACCCTTCATTTTCTGGATCTGAATTTTGTGCAGGTAGCTCCTTTTGGAAATAGCTGAAAAAGAAAGTTGAATTTTAAGTTATTCTTTCACATTACAAATTGAAACGCACCATGCAGAAATACTTGTTTGCAAAGTTAGATTAAAATAAACATACATACCTACTTATTAACCTGTTCTTCGTCGGTGAGCGTATTCCTTTGCTAAAGATATTAAAGAATTTATAATTAATAATATATTTATATTTTTTATGGAAATTATTGCACTACTTACCGATTCATCTTGCACATCACATGTCCATACGTTATTAACTCACAACAATTTGACAGTTCACGCAATGACACTTTTACAAAGCAAAAATAAAGGGTTGCCATTCCAGCGATGAAAAATAGCGTTTGCATATGTTCAGTGATTAAAACCACTATTTTCATTGTAATTAAGGGAATAGGAAAAACAATTAGGTAATATAGGGAACAAATTTTAAAATTTGAAGCAGAACAAAAAGTGAAGCAGATTTTTGGAAGGACTGACGAAGTAAATTTTGTGAAAATGAAGCAAAATACCTCGATTGAAGTAGTAGCGGCAGCACTGGTCACAACAGACGGCCAATGCTACTCGACTCTCACACCTGCTCTCAGAGAGCACTCTTCAACAAACCGACATATGCGAGCAACGTTCATTAAGTACCGCCGCCAAAGAAGTAGTCGGATTTCAGCGAGCCCGAAAGAACAACTGATACGATGAGGAGTGTCAAGAAGCTGCAGAGAAAAAAGATGCCGCCTTCAGGGCCAAGCTGCGATCGGGCGCAACAAGAGCCACGTGGGACCATTATAGGGAGCTGAAAAGGGACGCGAGACGTATTTGCCGCAATAAGAAAAGAGAAGCCGAAATATGTGAGTGAGAAGAGCTTGAAATTCTGGCCGACAGGAAAAAATTTTACCATAGAGTTAGCCAACTTACGGGAGGTTTTAAGACCAGGGCAAACTCTTGTAAGAACAACAATGGCGACCTAGTGACAGATGACCAGAACGTACTTAAATTATGGAGGGAACACTTCACCCTACTGAATGGTAGCGGCGCTGAAAGCTATAGAGCAGACGAACCCGAGCCCCCAGTCGATGATGATGGAGTCCATGTACCACCCCCTGACTATGACGGGGTAAAATATAGCAACAGCGCGCTTGAAAAGCAACAAAGCTGCTGGAGCTGACAACCTGCCAGCGGAGCTATTCAAGTACCGTGGCGAGGAGTTGATAAGGCGCATGTATCAACTCTTATGTAGAATATGGTCAAATGAAGGCAGCGTATTGTGTGAAAGACTGAAGCCCACCGTCAACGAAGTGATTGGGCCTTATCAGTATGGCTTTAGACCTGGAAAATCCACCGTAGACCAGGTGTTCACAATGCGCCAAATCTTGGAAAAGACCCGCGAGAAAAGTATCGACACTCACCACTTTTTTGTCGGCTTTAAAGCCGCTTTCGATAGCACTAAAAGGAGTTGCCTATACTCCGCGATTTCTGAATTTAGTATCCCCTCGAAACTGATACGGTTGTGTAAAATGACGTTGAGTAATATCACCAGCTCCGTCAGAATTGGGAAAGACCTCTCCGAGCCGTTTGCTTTCAGTTTCAGAGAGGGTTACTCTCTTTCATCTGATTTCTTTAATCTGATGTTGGAGAAGATAATAAGAGGTGCAGAACTGAACCGCTCAGGATCAATTTTTCACAAGAGCGTGCAATTGCACTCCTGCCAACAAGTGCTACTTTGGATTGAGTAGGAAATTAGGGAGTAAAGTCCTCTCTCGACGTACGAAAACCACTCTCTAAAAGTCACTCATCATGCCCGTGTTTGAATATGACGCAGAAGCATGGACAATGACAACATCCGATGAGGCGGCGTTTGGAGTATTCGAGAGAAAGATTTTGCAGAAGATTTACGGGCCTTTACGCCTTGGCGACGGATAGAATGATAAGCTGTATGAGCTTTACAACAACATAGACATAGTGCAGCGAAGCCGGCTCCTCTGGCCTGGCCATGTCGTTCGAATGGTCTCTGACGCTCCGCTCCGAAAATATTCAACTCGGAAACCGCTGGTGGTAGCAGAGGAGGAGGGAGGCCCCCACTGCGATGGAAAGACCA